AATCTTAATGTTACTAAGCCTACTTCACGTCAATTAAGTTGGATAATGTTGTTGGATAGTATCCGATGAATCCACGAATAACGCATCTTTGTCTTCGTAGTCCTCAATATGCACATCAACAATCTTAAATATTAGGCCGCCTAGCTATGCCATATATTAATTTCAAACTTATGAACTTTGGGGTTGCATGCAATAAAAAAGTATATTTTAAATATACTAAGGGTACATTATATATGTATGTAAGGTACTTTCAATATAAAAATAATGTATTTTTAATATATTAAAAATGTATTTGATATTCATGATCCATACAATTATGTGGACCATCGTTCACACAATAATTTGTCAATAGAAATTGAAATATAAATAAATATAATAAATAAGTAAATATATAATACATATATATATATATATATATATATATATATATATATATATATATATATATATATATATTAGAAACTGTTAGTGAAAATTATTATCATTATTATTATTGCAATTATTATTGTTATTGTTATTATAATTAACAATATTATTATGGTCTTGTGAAAATTAAATGTTGATTATTACCATTTAATTCTCACAAGACCATATGGCTTTATTATATATAGGATTAGTAAAAGGAATTGAACATGATTATGTAATGCTAGACTGTGTTTATGAAAAGGCCTAACAAACTTTTAAAAATATGGTGTACCGTGAGACTAAATTAAGGCTCATCATTTAGGGAGTGGAGATGAGCTTTGTGGTGGGTACAACTAGCCGCCCAAGGCCGGCACCGGTTGTCTTCGATCAGTCTCAATCCGGGTCTTTTTTTATCATGCTCACAATATTTCTATCTCTTTGTCCTCGGTCACGAGTTCTTGGGTCTTGGGTCATAGATTCTTCTTGGGCTTCAAATTATGAGCTCGTGGATCTTGAGTCTCCATTCTTGAGACATTTTAAATATTTTCATCACTCAAGATTAATCTTAATGTGCAGAGTCTTAATGTATTTGGCTAATTTGCAGTCAAATCAAAATATTATTTTCGAATTGAATTATTGTAGACAAAATTACACTTTTTGTACCTTTAATTATAAAGTGAAATATTTAGTTCTTTAATTATTTATTGAGTCTAGATCAATGCTTAGAAAGACAAAATATATATATATATATATATATATATATATATATATATATATATATATATATATATATATTGTCTTTCTAAGCATTTTTTTTTTTTTTTGCAGAGCATAATGTTATACCATTCAGAGCGTACCGATGTGCCTTTCATAGAACATTAATTTTCTTCTTGTAGAGTTCAGGTGCGGCTGCACCAATAGTTATGTAAATATGCACCAACAATGTTAGGAAATGCACAACAAAAAATGCACAAATTAGGTACGCATCACCAAAAACGCACCATTATGTATGAATAAAAACACCACACAGTTTTCGGAAATGCACAATTAGGGGGTGGGGAGTTATGGTGCATTTTTTTGGATGTGTTGTGCGTTTTTATTTTTATTTTTATGTATTTGTGCATTTCGTTGTTGTAAATTTCCTAACATTATTGATGCATATTTACATAACTATTGGTGTATCTGGCTAATCTGTAGCCAGATCAAAATATTATTTTCGAATTGAATTATTGTAGAAAAAGTTTCATTTTTGGTACCTTTAATTATAAAGTGAAATATTTAGTTCCTTAATTATGTATTTAGTTGTAGGTATTGTACCTTATATGTTCCTTTTATTTAAATAAGAAATAAATGTTGATTTCAACTAAAGGGTAAAAATTGATATGCGGAATTATCAAAATATTAATTCAACTTTAACGTTGGCTTAATTAAATGCTTATTTATTTACTTCACAAGTTAAAAACCCCATATATGATCCATAACTCAACATATAATTAAGAGACCAAATGTGTTTATTTTATAGGTAGGAGACCAAATTTCAACACCCAAAATAATTAAATCACCAAAAAGTGATTTTTTTTCTTATTCTAGTTTTTAATTTCATAAAGTAATTGGCCTTATTTGGTAATTAGTGATTAACCATACGATTAACTGTTACCAAATTGTGTTAACAGTTTAATTTTGATCAATAAATTGGGTTATGTATGCTTGGTAAGATTATACTAAATATGGTTGAAATTGCATGTAGCATATGACTTGTGTATAGTTATAGGTGATCAATAAATTGGGTTAGGTATGACTTGTTAACAGTTTAATTTTGATCAATAAATTTGTATATGTCACGTCTATAGTTATAGGTGATAATTACAATTATGAATTCTACTTAAATCTAAAAATACATCGTTAAACTCCTAATAGCTACTGTATTAAAAGAGGGATAATACAAATTATTATTATTATTATTATTATTATTATTATTATTATTATTATATTAGCCATAGGTGATTATTACCATTATGTATACAATTCTGTTGGCAATTAAATTAAAGGGGTATTAGTATTGGCTAATAAAAATTATTAACATAAAATTTATAGTAACCATTATATATAAGAGTACATATGCATATGCACTATATGTATTATTAACATAATTATTAATTAAATATAATAAATTTTAAATTTTATTAAAAAATAATTGTCAAAACATTTATAGAGACAACATGAGTCGATGCATCAATTGATTAGTACGGAGTAATTTATAAGAAATTTGTATTACTATGACTAATAATTTTTTTTTTTGCACGTTAGGTTGAAAATACTATTCTTTTGTATTAAATATTTAAATCTTCAACTAAATGACGTTGAAGAATATAAAGAATTATAATTTTATTTTTGGTTTAGAAGTTTGGAATACCGTGTTTAATATTATATTATCAAAAATGTGACACTAACTGTTATATAAGTATATAAAAAAATAAACATATACATTCGTTATTAGTTATAATATTTTTTTTTTTGCATAATGATAAATATTTAATTTGACACTTATTAAAAGTTATTTTTATACAAATAATTTTTTTTTTAGTTTGAAAAATTATTTGGAGAATTTTGGCAAGCTTTGACCCGGTTCATATTATGAGCCCATCCGGATCACGTGGAACATTATTTTTCAAAAAAAAAAAAAACAAAACAAAAAATGCGATGCAACTCTTAACAAGATCCATTAATAAAGTTGGTGAAGTAATTAAATTAATTTAAGAGCATTCCACTTTCTAACATTTTTTTTTTTTAGAATAAAAGCTTAATGCATTATATCAGAATTGAGAATGTTGGGGGAGGAGAGTGATGTCACTCCCCGCAATCTATCAAAGAAACGACTTCCTTAATAAGAGCATGTGCAACATGTTTCACAGATCACCTAGCAAAATAAAAGATTACATCATCATCTATTTGAGATGCAATCTCTTTTACATCATCAATTATTAAACTAAAAGCTGAGTTGTAAGAATTAAAAAACAATTTGTGAGTCGTCAATGTGATGAAAACCCAGTCCCTTCACCCAACTGCTTACTGCCTTTGCTTCCTTCACGTCATAATAGCCAGCATGCATATGGAGCTTTTTACAGCAATGAGAACACTTTCATTATCTCTTAATACATTTCATGGATTCTACGAAAACCCATGCCCCCACACTTTTTTGGTGCACAAAGACCATCCCAACTCCTCCACCTGATTCCTTTACCATGAGTCCATAACCTATAGATCCTCTCCACCAATACTCATCCATCATCGTTTCAATTTCCTTGCAAAGACCTATAGGCAGGTAACATGAAAACCATCATAGCATAAGAGGGTAAAGTCTGAATAACATTTTTTAAAAGTACCACTTGACCGGCTCGTGAAAGGAATTTGGCATTCCGGCCAGCTTCTAACTTTATTCAATATTTTTCCCTTAAGTGAATTAAGTGAATTTGATGTCTAAATCTCTAAACAATTATACATTAGGTAGATGAAATGACTACTTTATCCTTTCATTTATAGTCAACTTTACCGTAATCTGACGAAAGGACCTCAATTTGAAAGAAATTGAAAGTGAAGGGATGTAAAGTGTCCAAATTAAAAGTCAGTGACTAATTTTAGAAAATTAATATAGTCGGAGGGCTATTGTTGAAATTAACTATGGTTTTAATCATTGAGAGATTTGATAGGGATTATACGGGCACGACCAAATTCTTATTGGTCAAACCAGTCGGAACCAAACAAAGCCGAGCCCATCCAGAACATTTCTCGTTCTGACCGGGAAGAATATACTTGTGATTGGAATGATAAGACATCAATATTGGTAATCATTCTAATTTTACTATACTACCAGGGACGGAGCCAAAGGGGGGGCAGGGGGCACCTGCCCCCCCCCCTCACCCCACCCCACCCCTACCCTATATATATAGCTTTGTATATAATATGTATATATAGTACATTATTAGTATAAGTATTATAAAACAAATTTTGTAAACAAAAGCTTTGGTAGACAAGGTGGTAGGAAATGCGCTTGGATTTCAAAATGGCTTGGGTTTAATTCTTTGCATTGACATTGTCTTAGCCTTCTTTGCTCAACACAATTAAATTTTGGCATGATATATATAACTTTCTTTTATATTAATAATGTGATGTCTTTCTTTTTTATATTAATAATGAGATGTATATATATATAACTTTCTTTATATTAATAATGAGATGTATATATATATAACTTTCTTTATATTAATAATGAGATGTATATATAACTTTCTTTATATTAATAATGGAATGTGTAATTTATAATGTGTTTTATATTCGAATTGTTTTATCAAATTAATTATGTTTCATATTTTGTTATAAATATTTTTATAAAGTTTTAATATGTTTTATTTTTTGCTATATCCAACAATATTTATTGTTATACTTCAAAGTGTTTCATTTTTTTTTCAAACTTTCTCTTTTATTTTATTTTTTTGGTCTCACTGAAAAAAATTCCTGAATCCGCCACTGACCATCCCTACTTCTTTGCCCCCCTCAACATAATTTCTGGCTCCGTCCCTGTATACTACCAAACATGCATATAAAATACATTCACCAATACTCATTACCATTACCAAGTATTTGATTCACATTCCAATTCTAATGAGCGAACCAAACTCACCCTTAATCTCTCCATAATTATTTGATTTAAATAAGTTGGTCTCATCAACCAATAACATGACCATTATCTTCTCTGGTATCTGACTCTCCTCCCCATCTTTTTATTCTGTCTCCAGCTGCAGAAGCCTACATATATATTTCACAAATCAGAAGTGAAATGAACTCTTTTCGGTAATTATATTAAGAGATAATACCAGCTGTGATCATATTTTAGGACCACCATATTTAGTTCTAAACTTTCAATTTAATCACCATGACCCTTCAACTAGTTTTCAAGCTATACGGTCCTTCACTTCAAGTTAATCACCCTGGTACTTCAAATTTCAATTAACCAGTCTTGGTCCGAATATTGTCCTTACTTAAACTAATAGAAGGACCACTATTAGTTAAATTTAAAAATTAAAAGACGACAGATGATTAAATTAAAAAAATTATGATTAAACGTGACAGTGTCATTATATTCGGATGACTCTAACTGGTAATAACTCTTATATTAATGATAATTAAGATACATACCTCCCTGTTCCAATCTGTTCTTAGTATCATCCATATCAATACTAAGGTTTGTACTGTAGTCCCAATCATCATTCCGTACCAAATGCCCTGAAAATCATTTGCTGTCAATATATAATATTACGTTGACAAAGTAGAGGAATTTTTAAGATGCCCATTGACACTAATGTATTTTTTGAATGATTCCCAGTCAATTTTTATGGATATGCACCATGTAAATCTCGCATTTTAACCCATAAAAGATCACAAAGTGGTAAATTAGCCCATTCATAACTGACTGATTTAAACCCAATGAATCAGCACTTTAATTAGAAGTTTTGTATAAAGAAATACCAGGACGCTGAGCTTGAAAACGAAACCCAAAACGAGGCCAATAGGGATGCCAATGACATAATAGCATGTTATGTTGACGTAAGCAACGTAAGCTTGCCACCCAGCTCCAATGGCGACTCCTGCATGCATGCAATTCTTGAATTGGTTAAGAAATACGAAAAGAGATTATACAGATCTGATGAGGGTATGAATAATGTACCAGAGAGGGTAGGTTGAAGGCTATTAATGGCGACGCTGCAAGCTAGCAAAGGTGTAAGCTGGTACACGAGTTGTTGGACCCTCGGACTATCCGAAAACAGCGGCGGGTATTGTTTTCTTACGAGGATTAGAAGGAATCCTAGGACGACGCCAACTAGAAGTGAAGTGATTGCGGCTACCACTACTGAGAATTTTGCACTTCTTGGATGCCCTGCTCCTAGCTCGTTTGATACTCTTACACTGCCATTAATTTACTCTATTTATTTAAATTTGTATTGTCAATTCAAACCAAAAAAAAAAAATAGAAATATTGGGATGTGAATGATATTAGAAATATTTACAGACCTTATTGCTGCATTGAATCCAAAACCCACCATCATTGTCCACCCTAAGATATTCATGCTGCACATTTCAATTATGAAATAGTCTTTTTGGGTGGGAAGATTTCATTTTATTTCCTTAGATAAAATTACTCACCATATAGAAACTGCATCAACAGCAACTTCTGCATCTTTAAGGTATCCAGCGAAGATAATAAGAGACGTATAATACCACATCTCTAAGCTGCACATGCATGTTTAGTTAATTTACTACTGGAAATTATTGAGTTTACGACCACCTGAAAGTGATCTTAAATCAAGTTGAAAGCAAAAAATGGTCAGAAATAGCAACAAGGGTTTTTCTGGATATCAAAAGTGGTCGGAACAAAGCTTTTGACTTGATTTAAGATAACTTTCAGGTGGTCAGAAATTTCAAAATTTCCAGAAGTGATTACAGACAAGGCAGTTGACTAACTGCAAAACACAACATAGTATCATGTGAAAAAGCAATTATATTAATCAACACTGACCAAAGCATTACTGCCGATGCAAGAGACAACCTAACAAATCCCCATAGGTTGTTAAAAGCCTTCCAAGAAAACCCACTCCAAGCTTCACCGCAAGTCCCACTGAAGATATACGCCAGCTGCGCCACCACTATGAACCACCACGACGAGTTGAGCACCACCGCGCCGCCGACCATCCCCCACCCGGTCTTCAGCATGAAGAGCCAGCTGAACAGCGTGTGGCCGGCGACAGCCACGGCGGCAATGACGGCCATCACCATGATCTTGCTCTGCGCTTGCAGGAACTTCTGGATGGGGAAGTTCATGGCGTAGGCGAACAGCTGCGGGATCATCCACAGGGAAAACGTGCCGGCCGATTTCGATATCTCCGGTGTCTGGCCGATGAGCCTTAGCAACGGCGCGGCGAAGATGTAGATGAACATCATCAGCACCGCCGTGGTGTTGAGGATAATCCATGATCTTTGCATGTAAACCCCCAGCATTTCTACCTGTTTTGCTCCAAACGCTTGACCGCATAGCGTCTCTAGTGCACTTCCCATGCCCAACTAATAACCAAAAAATTAGAACAAATTAAAAATGTACTCTCATAACCAAAATTCAGCTCGGAACCACTACTCGAGCAGGTGCAATTGATAAATCAGAACAAGTGTATGATATATGACCAACTCAAACTAAAAAACCAAGTTAACGGTACTAACTTTGCTGAGATTGTCCCGTCCAATATATATCTTTAATTTGTTCTATAGTACTATAGTTTACATGTTATCATACCTGAAAATATGTCATTTTTGTCTACTCTTTCACATTCAAGAAATAGACAAAAGGACGAAAATTTTCATCTAATTTTAAACCTAACATTTTACAACATTGAGAGCAAACACAAATTAACTTTAAAATTTCATCCAACTTATATAATTGGACAAACATTTTATCATCCATTTTTCCAGCCAACCAACATATTGCCTACTAGGAAACTAAAGCAAACATTACCCAAGCTACAGGTGAATCTTAAAAATAAATAAATAAATAAATAAAATAAAGGTGATGTCTCAATTTTGACATTTAAAAAAATATACTCCGTATATAAGTACAAATAATATAAAATAAAAACTATAACATTTATTAAAAAAAATTGTCAAAAATAATATATATATATATATATATATATATATATATATATATATATATATATATATATATATATATATATATATATATATATATATATATTCACTTCAAAAGTGACATATTCAAAAAAAAAAAAATATCATCTACCAAATTTTTGCTATTCAAAACGAGCATAGATTATCACAGACCGTCAAACTTAAAACTTTGTATTTAACAAACTAATTATCCTACTAACTTAGTTAGGGTTTCGGTCATCTCAACATCTTTCAATAATTTATTTTTTTATTGTAATTAAAACCAATCTATTGACACTATAAGTATACCATAATGATCAGCATCATAACCTTTTATGTTCCATAATATCCAAAATAAATAGTAAAAACGTTGAATTTGTAGATGATATAAAGTCAAAATCTTTTTATAGGTGTCAATAGCTACCGGGAAAATACTATATATACTTCCATTCTTTACTCCCAAATTCTACTTTCACACTTAAAATTGTGATGTTGATACATTTACAGGGGCTCATAGAAAGAAAATAACATATCAATACTCATCACATCAGAAAATAAATTTGATAAAGTAAGATTTGGGAGTACATGTAATCCAATTTAGCTACCAAAACCTTTCCTAGCTAAAGAAAAATACTTGATAGCTGCTACAGTTTCTACTGCACAACCCTCTTTTATTTGACCAATGAGGTGACGGAGCCACGGAGGACTTTGACCCTTTGTACATAGTGCAAAAATAATTTTTTTTTTTAAATATAAAAATAAAAGTTATTGTTATGATTAATACACGGAGTATATAATTATCAAATAGCTATCAATGCTCTACAAAAAAGAGTAGACAATGAACTAACAAAAAATAATAAAATATTTAGGATCTATTTGCTAACATAGTTAATTTATCAGTCAGTTTTAACTTATTTGACATTTATTAATTATTTAACATGGTTAAACAAACAATATGAATGTTTAGTTCATTAATTTTTTTAATAACTTATTATTCCAAAATGATAAAATTCAAAAACATGCTCAAAATAGCTTTTTCAATCAACTTCTTGAGAAAGTCATTTTACATATAATCAGCTAGCTAACAGCTAATTTACCAAACACTTTTAACAAATCATGCTATCAACTAGTCAAATTCACTAACTCAATCAGCTAACGTCTCACAAACTATAAAAAAAAAAAAAAAAAAAATATGTCATACTTATCACTACAGCACTACAGCGGCCTGCGACCGTCCACTACGAGGTAGTCAAAAAATTTCAGTCAAATTTGTACAGATATGAACGAAAATCTACGAAGATTAATACATCATCCAACTTATATTAACTTTATACTTACCAAATGATCAGTGAGATCAACTTATTAGATTGGTTGCCTCAACAACTATATATGTTATACGTATATATAAGTATATGAGTGCAAGTATATATATATGTACCATGATGCCAAAAGAAAGTCCGGCGATGACAGAGTTTTCGACGGAAACGGCGGCGAGTTCAATAGTTCCGAGGTGGCCGGCGAAGACCTGAGTGATGGCGCCGATGGTGTATTGGCATAGGGAAGTGAAAATGGCCGGACCGGAGAGGAACCAGAGCTTCTTGGACTCAGAACAGAATTCCCGGAAAAAATCTCTGACGCCATTGATGGGCTGGATATCTTCGGAATCGGCGTGGAAGGAAGATGTGAAAGACCATTTGGTTGAAGAAGGCTTCAATTGGCTCACCGAGCAGTCGTCTTCTCGCGCAGCTGTCAAGAATGGAACCTTAGCGTCCTCCATTAATGGCAGGCTGACTCGCAGCGACAGAATTTAAGAGGGTGATGAAGAAATGGGCTGCCTAGTTGCCTACATACAGAGGCCGGAATGAGGGTATTAAATAGGAGTGTTTATTATTTGATGATTTTGTCTTGCTCGGTGATGGAACTAATTGACTTGGGAATAGTACATATCAATTAAGTGGCCATAAGAATAGGGTAATAGAATTGAACATGATTATTATATTAATGTTAAGACAATGCTAATTTATACAATGAAAAAGTCAAATAAACTCTAAAAAACATGGTGTATCGTGAGACTAAGTCAATGTTCACCATCTTAGGGATGGAGATGAGCTTCGTGGTGGGTATGGCTAGTGGCCCAAGGCCAGCCCCGAGGGTCTTCAGCCTCTGCCCTGGTCTTTCGCGTCATGCTCACAATATTCCTATCTCTTGATCCTTGGTCACGGACTCTTAGGTCCCAGGTCGTAGATTCTTCTTTGGCCTCAAGTTATGAGCTCGTGGATCTCGAGTCTTCATTCTTGAGAAATTTTAAATATCTGCATCACACAAGATTAATTTTAATGTGCGGGGGTCTTAATGTATCTGGCTAATCTGTAGCCAAATCAAAATATTATTTTTGAATTGAATTATTGTAGAAAAAATTATATTTTTGGTACCTTTAATTATAAAATGAAATAATTAGTTCCTTAATTATTTATTCAGTTGTAGGTGTTGTTCCTTATATGTTTCTTACTCCCCCCCCCCCCCCCCCCCCCCCCCTATTTTTTGAGTATTACTGACTTGGTTACGATATAGTATCTGTTCATAGTTATTTTCTCAACCTACTAAAACACAAAGGAAAAAAATTGATATGCGGAATTATCAAAATGTTAATTCATTTTTAACGTAATGTTGGCTTAAATGCTATAATTATATGTTTTGTCTTCTTTTCAATAAGCTATAATTAAATTTCTAAAGGAATTTGTGAAATTTAAAACGATTTGTATGGGCAATTACTTCAATAACACTTCAGTTGAATAACTTCCCTTTTTGATACCATAAATTGCTTCGATTGCACACCTTTGTACCTTTGAGTGCATAATTTTGGCCTTCAAGTGCACATTTTTTGTGCCTTCAAATGCATGATTTTGTGGTTTCAAATGCACAATTTTTGTTGTTCGAAGTGTAATTTATTTAAACCGCATTAGATTTGGATGAATTTAATGGCTGAGATTCGTTTGCATTTTTCACGTGGGGAGTCCTTCGCACCTTTATACCATATATATGTATATATATATATATATATATATATATATATATATATATATATATATATATATAGAGAGAGAGAGAGAGAGGTGATTATTACCATTTTGAATACATTTCTGTTGGCAATTCAGTACTAGTATTTGCTAATAAAAATTATTAAAAGTTATTTTATACAAATTTCAATTTTGGTACTATGACTATAATTGTCTTGTTAATTTCAGTCCCTAACTTTTAAAAGTGTCAATTTAATACATTTATTATGTAATTTTTGTCAATTTTGGTCACTCCGACCAAATTTCGTCGAAAAATTTTAATTGTTAAAATAATGAGGGTATTTTGATCATTTCATATCTCTTTTCTTCTTCCCAGGCGAGTCCATTCATTCCTCTCCCGTTTTCGACGAATGAAATGAACTAAGATGATGGGGAGAGGAGGCTTGATGATATTAAAGATAGGGTTTACAGGGAGAAAGAACGCTGAAAACGGGAGAGAAAGGGATGGACTCGTCGGAGAAGAAGAAAAGAGGCATGAAACGACCAAAATACCCTTATTATTTTAATTATTAAAATTTTTCGGTAAAATTTGACCGGTAATTTGACTAGAATGACCAAAATTGACAAACATTGCATAGTTAAGGTACTAAATTAACACTTTTAAAAGTCAATGACTAAAATTAACAAGACCCCTATAGTTATATGATCAAAATTGAAATTTCCTCCAAAATGTTTTTTATTTTAGTTTGAAAGAGGGTTTTGGTCACGTGGAACATTAATTTAATTTGACCCGGTTCATATTATGAGGCCATCCGGATCACGTGGAACATTAATTTTCAAAAATAAAAAAATGCGATGGAACTCTTAACAAGATCCATTAATAAAGTTGGTGAAGTAATTAAATTAATTTGCAGAGCATTCCACTTTCAATAATTCTTTTTTTTTTTGAATGCTTCAATAATTCAATGATAGTAACATTTTTTTATTGAGAAAATGGCATTCCATCAATCATAACATTTCTACATATTTATATAAATTTAATCTTTCAGTTATTATTAAAATAAATAAATAAATGATGGGTTAGGGACTTAGGGTACTCAGTCTTGTGCTCGAATTTAACAGTTGGCCTCGGGACTTTACCAAATTTTATCAAATAGTGTATTCTATTGAAATTTTAGACTGAAAGTTACAAATCAAAAGCAAAAACTAAAAGTGAACAAAAAAATTAAAAAAAATGTTTTTTTAAAAAAAAAAAGAAAAAGAAAAAAGAAGGTATATTGATGAACAAAAGCGGAATAATATCCTCATATATGACTACGTAATTAAAGTTTTTTTTAAAAAAATAAATGTACTATTAAATTATTTTTTTTACCTGACACTCTGTCATAAATGTACTATTAAATTAATATAATTTTTTTTTGAAGAAAAAAAAAATTATATTAATTTCAAAAAAAAATTATATTAATTTAATAGTACATTTATGACAGAGTGTCAGGTAAAACCTCAATCAACACTAATTTATATTTACCGCATTTAAATATATAATTATGTGTTCTATTCATTGGACGGTATGAATGGGTAGGGAGCAATAGTTATGCTGTGGAAACGTGTTTACCATATACATGGTGAACACAATGATAGATTCATAATTTTTATACTGTAGATTTATAATTTATTTTTTTTTTGAAAACGTAAATTCATAATTTTGTTTTTTCATTTGTTGTTAACGGGATAGATCCATAATTTCTAAGCTGTAGATTCATAATTTCTATACTATAGAGCCATAACATCTATACTGTAGATTCATAATTTAATTTCTGTACTGTAAATTCATAATTTTTGTACTGTAGATTCATAATTTCTATATTGTAGATTCATAATTTCTATACTATAGATTCATAATTTTATACTGTAGATTCATAATTTATGTACTGTAGATTCGTAATATCTGTAACAACAAATGAAAAACAAAATTATGAATCTACGTTTAAAAAAAAAAATTATGAATCTACAGTATAGAAATTATGGATCTATCCATGTGTTCATCATGCGCGTGGTGAACACATTTCCACAGCATAATTTTCCGGGTATGGAGCCTTTGGCCGGTTGGCCACCACCCCTAAAAAATTTTAAAAGTATTATTATTATTATTACTATTATTATTATTATTATTATTATTATTATTATTATTACTAGTAATTCACCCGCGCGATGCACGGGAAAAAATTATGTTATTATAAATATAAATAAAAAATAGAAAAATTAAAATATTTTAAATTATTTAATATAATAATATTTTTGAGCTTCCATTGGTCAAGTATTTATTATTTTTATAGAATACAAAATTACAATTAAAATTATAATTATAATTTTGTATGGTTAATATAATCTCTAATTATGTGCATATTCAAATAAATTTATAGAGAGAATTTACATAATTACATTGATTTATTCTTAATTGTATTTCATCTATATTATAATTTTCACAATACGAATAATAACTAAGATAATTACATTTGGAAAGCAAATTTCAAATTTTGTAGGTGTAAATTTAAACTCTAATTGAACACATTTTTTATATGATTATATAATATATAACTATTTTATTTTTCAAAAGTATATTTTTATATGATTATATAATATATAGCTATTTTATTTTTTAAATGTTTTTTTTTTAATAATAAAGTGTTGGGCGTCGGCCGGGTTGGCCGAGTTCAGCCCCTGCTCGATTCGAGACGTGGCGCTGTGGCTTACCATGGAGAGATGTGGTTAAATGGTTAATGTCCACCTACTTATCACCAATTGGTTTTAAGTAGGATATGGCAACCAGGTACCATAGAACTATGTGGTTAAGCGTGCTTGACTTCCCTGGGAAGTAGGCATAGTGCAACGCTGAGATCCAACATAAAGGATGTTGTTGCATTAATTGTAGTATTAAATATTTCCCAAACCATATAGCTTTATTATATAAAGGATTATTTACTAAATATAAAAATAATCAATATTAGTGAGGTTATAATGTGAATAAAAAGAATGTTGGTGTAATAATGTAAATTAATAACTTATATATTTTGATTTATATATTATTATTATTATTATTATTATTATTATTATTTACTAAATATAAAAATAGTCAATATTAGTAAGGTTATAATGTGAATAAAAATAATGTTAGTGCAATAATGTAAATTAATAACTTATATATTTTGATTTATATATTACACAAGGATAAGACATTTTTAAAATTATCATCTTTAATTTCACTTTTTACTTTTCGACTTATATACAAACTTTAAATATAAAACATTGGGATAAGGGTCAAATATACCCTTCAACTATATGGCAAAGTGCAATTAACTCCTTAAACTAACAAAAGATCTAATTAAGCCCTTCATCTATCAACTTTTATGCAATTAAGTTAATTAACAGGTTACATTTAGGTCACAGATAATTTTAAATTTGAAAAATTAATTAAAATAATAAATATATTTTTAACTCAAATAAATTAATAAACTTATATATATAAACCTCCGGCGACCTCTGATTATAATTAGTGAAGAAAATTGTCCGACGATCTCTGATTATAATTACCGAAGAAAATCGTCCGACGACCTCTGATCATAATTAGTGAAGAAAATTGTCCTCCGTTGGGTTGGTATACTAGTTTGCTGATTCTTAGGAAAGGTTTCTTTAATTTGCTTAATAAAGTGAAGAAAGAAATGGTTTGGGAGAAGCAACTACGAACTGCCTCCACAACCGCAAAAGGCGGAGGAATGTTCATAAACGTGATGACAGACGAGCAAATGGAAATCGCTGCCTATGCCACCATTTTTGAGCAGTTTGCCGATTTGCACATCGCTCCGCAAAGAAATCGCTCGGCCATGGATTCTCCGTCGAGGAGAACGAAGCCGGCCAGGTCTGTATTATATTATTATAAAAGTAAAGAGATAAAGGGCCTAATTGGAGCTTTTGTTAGTTTGTGTGTCTAATTGCACTTTGCCTTATAGTTTAAGGGTGTATTTGACCCTTATCCCTAAAACATTCCCTTAAATATTTATTATTCTTAACTTATTCATTACAAAATAATTTCTAACATAATAATAATAATAATAATAATAATAATAATAATAATAATAACAACAACAACAACAACAACATCAACGATGATGATGTACATTTTATTTTTATATTCTTATTATAGTAATGAAATTAATGTATACAAAATGGAACTCATGCTAATTTTTCTATTATTTTCTCAACTCTTTTTTTTTTTTTTTTTTTTTTTTTTTTGCGGTAAGAATTAAAATATAATAATATTTACTTAAACTTGATTTGTTTCGTTCAATTATATATATATATATATATATATATATATATATATATATATATATATATATATATATATATATATATTCACACTTAATTATTTGAATTTCGTATTGGACATTAATTAAATCGCACAATATGCATATTAATTATATCAATTTATTATTATATAAAAATACTCTTTCAGCACTCAATAAATAATTTTTAAACTCTAAGTTTAGAAAATAAAATAAATTAAGGGTTCATTTGGAGACAATTTTTTTTTTTTTTTTTTTGTTAAAAAATTACTACCGAAAAGCATTTTCATTTTGTGGTGTTTGGCCGAAAGTTATAAAATGATTTTTTTTTTCTTCGTTGAAAGTCAGAAATTTTTATTTGTTTTTTTGTTTGTTTTTTTTTAGAACCATGAACGAAAATATATTACATAGTACACGTTATTTATTATAAAATATTAATTATGTTAATAATGATAATAATTATTAACTATATTAAAATAAATTAAAATTTTGACTAGTTTAAAAGTTTACTAATAATTATAATAAAATATGTAAAGAAATTAACGTGTAACTTATTATAATAAAAAATAACTACATAAATTGATAAATATAATAATTATGAACTAAAGAAATTTAAGAAAAAAATTATCTTTTATGGTGTGGTTAGTCTGGCCCAATATTTGTATTATTTGATTTGATTCCGAAAGACTTATATTTAATCAGACATTGATAAATGTATTTAGAAGTAACACTGAACTATAAAAAAAATAATAAAAATTGAAGAACATTTTTTTTTTTTTGGTGGGCATAGCTAAGATTTTTATTAATTTGCTCAACCAATCCAATCCATATTATAATTAGTCATTAATAAATATAATAAGTCCAAACTAAAGAAATTGAAGAAAAATTAAATATATATTTTTTAATGTTTTGGGCAATGATCGGGCTAAGCTAAGATTTTTATTATTTAGCAGAGTCGAATTAGACCCATCTTTAAATTGGAAGAGTCAAATCCAATTTAAATAATAACCAGACAAATGGAGTGCCAACACGCTAATTTGACACACTCAAAAAGAGAAAACAATAGTTATACCATAGATCAATACGTGTCCATCTTACATTGTGGATCCTGGTTCAAATTAAAATTATGTGCCTGTAGTAGTGTAGTTGACATATTATGTATCTACAATTAAAAGTTTATGAGGCTGTAAATAAATTGAAGGCACATAATATGTTAACTACAGACACATAACACGGTATCTATAGACATATAATATGTCAGTTAAAATATTATGTGTCTACAGTTAAAATATTATATGAATAATTTTCTTTGAATAAAGACATTGTAGGGACAATGTAGCGGCTATAATCAATTGATGAATTTGAATGTAAAGAATTTTAATATTGGAGAAAAATAAAGACAATATAACTAATGAAATTATTTCTTTTATTTAATTTATTGATAATGAATAAATTTTTTTGAATAAAGGCATTGTATACATATAATTCTAAATTAAAGAAATGCATATCTATTATTTTTTGTTGTAGCTACTAAATTATTATTTAATTTAATAAGAGTAAAATAGAGTACTAATTATGCCAACTTTGATTGGGATATGGTTTGAAACTAAGACCTTTCTTATTAAAATCAATGAGTAAATTAACGGTGAACTAATTAACAGAAATTAACATCGAAGATAATATTTAACGAAAAAATTAACGGATAATCTTATAATTAAGGATAAATTAGGAAATTTCAAGGAAAAATAAAAATCTGATCAATCCGAGCTATTCATTTAATTAAAAAAATTGACCGTTATTTTTTTTTTACCCATTATAGACCTAACTCTCTTTGGCTCTTATTAGTATAATAATAAATAATAGATAATAGATATATTTTGTGTTATGTAAAATGTTATAAAGTATTGATCGACATAGATAATATAATGATCATACTCATACAATTACATACTTCACACATGATTACATAAAGTATCATTAATTTTTGTTTTTCAATATTACTTGGTACAATTATATATGTTATATATGATGATATTAGGTTTGATCCCTCTTCATGTTGACTAACATTATAAATTTTTGCTATGATTTTGACCTTCCTGACATGACTTTTCTAGCTTCATTGTATTAAGTATTATCAACTCTGATCTTTAACTCTACAATATTTAGTACTCCGTACAATTCAAAAATATGAATGATTCTATTTGATACAAAAATTACTGATTAATATTATATCTTAGAATATTTTTCTATATTTTAGGAAGTCATGTATGAGAGAGAGTAAAATGGAAGAGAAAACAGAAAAGAAAAAAAAAACAGCTGACAATTTAAAAATAATTATATATATATATATATATATATATATATATATATATATAAAACAACGGTAAAAAGGTCAAAGTGGTCGTCAACTGGCGTGGTTTTATACATGCACACACAGACTGAAGCAAAATCAAGAAAACATAAACATATATGCAAATTTCAAACATGAAATGCACACACACACAACCCAAAATGTTTGGATGCATAATTATTACTTTTTTTAATGCTTTCACAATTACGAATTAAACAACTCAAATGCACACACGAGTAATAGTGTTTCGTTCAAAGCATATCAAAATGTACACGATAGAGAATAAAAGTGCACCTACCACACTATTGTTAACGTGACGATATACAGAACTAATTAAAATCAACTGTTAAAATAAATATTCATAAAAAAACAGTCAAAATAAATAAATAAATAAATAAATAATACGAGCATAATAAATCAAAATAAGAAATTCTATTCTATTATAAATACATTTCTAAAATCATACATAACATCCTAATTAAATAATTTCCTTATTTTAATTGTTATTTTTAAAACTCCTCAATGTACAATCACTTGCAGAGTCAATACAAGTACACACAATCTGCAGAAAATCTCTACAATATTGAAACCATTAATAATGATATTATCACTTTAAATATTAATTTTGATCTTAGCCAATAGCATGATCAATTATATCCTTTGGAATCAGGTTCTCCTCCCCATTGTTTTATTCTGTCTTCAGCAGCAGAAGCCTGCATATAATATTTCAGTCCAATGAATAAATTACATTAACCATAAACAATATTTCAGTTTGGACCCACTGAAATTGTAATGGGAAATTTAGACAAGTTGAATTGGACAAAAATGTTGTACTATACACACATACCTCCTTGTTCCAATCAGTTCTTAGAATCATCCATATCAACACACAGGTTTGTACTGTAGTCCCAAACATCATTCCGTACCAAATGCCCTGAAAATCATTTGCCGTCAATATATAAGCTAAGCAACATTATATTATAGTAACTAATGAATAAAAAGAATAATAATATGTCCCGATATTGTCACGTTTGGACAAAATCTTGGATAAAAAAATAAAAAAAAAAAAAAAAACATTTTTCGTCAATGTATATATATATACCACGATGCTCAAGTTGAAGACGAAACCCAAAACGAGGCCAATAGGAATGCCAACAATATAGTAGCATGCTATGTTGACATATGCAACGTAAGCTTGCCACCCAGCTCCAATGGCGACTCCTGCATGCGTGCAATTCTTGGTTAAGATACGTCATGACTGGAAATTATGGAATTTCCGACCACCTGAAAGTGATCTTAAATCAAGTCGAAAGCAAAAAGTGGTCGGAAATAGCAACAAAGTTTTTTTCGGATACCAAAAGTGGTCGGAACAAGGCTTTCGACTTGATTTAAGATAACTTTCAGGTGGTCGGAAATTCCATAATTTTCAGCAGTGAGTAGATCTGAGCTGAGGCTATGAATAATGTACCAGAGAGGGTAGGCTGAAGGCTATTAATGGCGACGCTGCAAGATAGCAGAGGTGTAAGCTCGGACACGAGTTGTTGGACCCTCGGACTATCAGAAAACAGCGGCGGGTATTGTTTTCTTACGAGGATTAGAAGGAATCCTAGGACGACGCCAACTAGAAGTGAAGTGATTGAGGCTACCATCACTGAGAATTTTGCACTTCTTGGATGCCCTGCTCCTAGCTCGTTTGATACTCTTACACTGCATTATTATTTTTTTTTTTTTAAATACACACCTATTATAAATAAAAGAGTAATGACCAATGTGATTATCACATTACAAACTGTAAAACTAATTTTATGCATATTAAATTGTTACATATTTACTATTTAGCTTGCTAACGGTCAAACTGTATATTGATTAGTAATTTTTACCTTGAAGTTGTAAAATTTTATTTGTTTCAAATTGAAAAAATTACTATTACTACTTATTAATTACTTAGTAGTTGCAGTTTGTAAACTTATTCTTATTAATGTTATACTACACTATTGACGATTGATTTCTTCATTTTCTTGTAATAACTCTGAAGTTGAATAGTTATAAAATAAATATGTAAACTAATTTAGAAAGAACATATAACTTAAATAGATCGATATATACTTTTTTAAATATTTTTCTATTTTTTTTCAGGATTATAAATCATGTCAGACTGAAATTTTTATTTTTATTTTTAGATCAAATCAACCTAATTTTAAAAATAATAAATAGATCAATGATGAGTAGTCGAACTATACTGGTTCAAACCTGTATGTTTGACACCTCTATTACATACTAAATACAAGTAATTTCAACATATACTGACCTTATTGCTGCATTGAATCCAAAAGCCACCATGACTGTCCACCCTAAGATATTCATGCTGCACATTGACAGTTCATGGCAAATATACTAAATGGTGAGAATATACTAAATGACTAGTATTGATGGGCTAAAAAGGAAACAATAAGAAGAAAAATAGTAGGTCCCTATCCGATATCAACAATCAATTAATATATTAAGAATTACGTATGTAATAGAATTTATCATGTAAATGATAAAATACAACCGACTATAGCTAATAACCGATCTGTAAAAAATAAATGAAAAAATAAAGAGTATTATTTATCAAAATTGTTACATACATACCCTTAGTGTGTTAGTTTCTAATATATTCTCTTTTAATTTTTACTACCTTGTCGGCAACTACTAGCTAGAAACCACATTGATGTGTACTTCATACTTTTGTCTACTTCTCCTTAATTGCTACCTATCTACTCAAACCTTTAATAAATCATTGAAAGGGATTGCATATGCGCCACATTATATATATATATATATATATATATATATATATATATATATAGTGACATCCTATACTAGTGGTGATGATTACTTATTATTATATGCATATCTGGTGACATCCTTTTGCATTCAATGTGTGGGGTTAGGTTAACTAAAGAGACAATGGACTCCTACTTTAAACAAGATCTATTATTTATGATAATAAAGAAATTAAATATAGTTTCTTTAAAGATAAAACGACTAAAATACCATCTAAAATTATTTTAAGTAAAATTTGAACATTTAACCAAAAAATAACTAAGTTATTGGCTATAGACAATAGAGGGGATTAGATCTGTCAATATAAGAAAAATCAAATTTACCAATGGAAAAAAAAAATTGTAGGTAAATTAATTACTAGAATTTGTATGGATTTAATTTGTCAATGAATTTGCATAGATAAAACACCAACATCAACTTTATTGTATTTTGTTGTTTTATTGTAGTGTCTAAACTCTTACTTTGATGTTGTGCCCAACTTCATAGATGTCTAGATTCATTAAATTAAAAATTAAAAATTGGCCCGGAAAGGGGTGACTTAGTATCAAAAGATCATCACGTGTTTTATTTTTGTCAGTACCCTCTCAATTGATTCTATCGTCATCTTACTGTGATTTAGAAGCTTGGTTGGAGAAGTACTCACCATATAGAAATTGCATCAACAGCTACTTCTGCATCTGTGAGGTATCCCGCAAACAGAATAAGCGACACGTAATACCACACCTCTAAGCTGCACGTATCTTGACAAAACAAAAATTAGTAACCACAAGGAAAATTTGTAGTCCAGTTCAAATAAAGAAGTTCAATAGGCCTTGTGATCCGATCCTATAATGGACGAAAGACTAAAATAAAGACTATCAGCCTAGGTTGTCTATAGATGGTTACTTAGGGTTTCTACCGTTGAACAAAGTGATTAATCCTCTGGCTGAATTGAAGGCACATCTTTTAAATAGAATAGCTAGCCTGAAGATTTAAAGCTGCTCCATACCCAAAGCCAAGGGTCGAACCCTTGACCTTTCATTTGAAGACATGCATTGTTGATTTATATGTCTTAATTAGGATTAATGATTCATATTTTTAGGATTAATTATGCTACACCATAACTAATACTTACCAAAGCATGACAGCCGACGCTAGTGACAGCCTAACAAATCCCCACAGGTTCTGAAAAGCCTTCCATGAAAACCCAGTCCAAGCTTCACCGCAACTCCCACGGAAGATATACACCAGCTGCGCCACCACTATGAACCACCACGACGAGTTGAGCACCACCGCGGCGCCGGCCATCCCCCACCCTATCTTCAGCATGAAGAGCCAGCTGAACAAAGCGTGGGCGGCGAGAGCCACCGCGGAGATAACAGCCATCGCCACCATCTTGCTCTGCGCTTGTAGGAACTTCTGGATGGGGAAGTTCATTGCGTAGGCGAACAGCTGCGGGATCATCCACAGGGATAAGGTGCCGGCCCATTTCGAAATCTCCGGCGTCTGGCCGATGAGCCTTAGCACCGGGCCGGCGAAGATGTAAATGAACATTAACAGAAAGGCTGTGGTGTTGAGGATAATCCATGATCTTTGCATGTAAACCCCCAGCATTTCTACCTGTTTTGCCCCAAACGCTTGCCCGCAGAGTGTCTCTAGCGCACTTCCCATTCCAATCTAACCAAAAAAAAGACAACAAATATGCACAGTCCAATCAAATTTGTCAGATTATTAATTTGATAATCACAAAGATACAAGTTCAACTCTGACCGATTAGCTTTCTTGAATTGATTTGAGCCAATTTGTCTCCTTATGCTCCTAGGGAACTTAGTTTGTGTTAGTCCTGTGCCTAGTCCTTTGGTTTTGTGTAACTAGTTTCTTATGTGGATTGTTCTCTATTTATTCTTTTTGTTAGATAGTGAATAAACATGTTCAATTCTCACTCTCATATGGTATCACAGTCATTACTCTAGGGATAAATTTTTTTTTTTTACTCGTGATCCTTTCTCGTTCTCTCATGGCTGCCACAACTCAAACAAGTGTTATTCAAATCTATGCCCCAACTCACTTACCAATCAAACTCACAACTTCTAATTTTTTCATTTGGAAATAACAAGTGGAGTCTAGGTTCACAGGACTAGACCTCTAAGCTACGTTAATGGAACCACTTCCTCAAAATATTCAAATTAGAGTCATAAGACTGGATTTATTCAATATACATCCACAGAGGATAGTGACTGTTGATTTTTCCGGTCACTCAAAAGAAAGATAGGCAGGGTTTGATCGTGTACCATGGTGCCGTAAGAAAATCCGGCGATGACGGTGTTTTCGACGGAAATGGCAGCAAGTGCAATAGTTCCGACATGGCCGGCGAAGACCTGAGTGACGGCGCCGATGGAGTATTGGCAGAGGGAAGTGAAAATGGCCGGAAAGGAGAGGTACAAGAGCTTCTTGGACTCGGAACAGAATTCCCGGTAGAAATCACTGACTCCATTAATGGGTTGAATGTCATCAACTTCACCAGCGTGGAAGACCAAGTTGGTTGAAGGCTTTGACTGGGTGTCCTCTTGCCTGGGTGCCAGAAACGGAACATTGACGTCCTCCATTAATGACTGGTCGATACAACTAACAGCGATAAGGGCATTACATATAGAGGAAAACAGGGATGGCAATGGGTCGGGTGTGGGTTGGGGAGGGCTATCTCCATCACCCGACCCACTTTATATTTTTCTCACCCACCCCCATCTTTAACCCACATTGGGTGGACTTTTTCTAAATCCACCCCGTCTCACCGGGTTCGGGTGCCCACTACGGGTACCCACCACTTATGATCTTATTATGTTTTTCAAAAATAATATTTAAATTACTTACACAAAATAAGATAATAAAATTCATTAGTGATACTCAAACATAAAATAATAGAAATATTTATTAAATATAATAACTAAGTTGTTAAGTTTTAAAAATAAACTTAACAGTTTAGATATAAAAAATAGTAAAAAGATACACATACTTATATAAACTTTTATAAATAACTACATACTAATACTTATTTCACTATTTTATATATACACACACATGGTGGGTCGGGTGGGGTTCTAAGCGGGTTTTGTACATAGAACCTGAATCAAACGCGACCCACCGCGGGTTTACTTTTTAAAGACCCACCCCCGACCCACCACCCACCATCACCCAAAAAAACTCAATCCATGCGTGGTGGATATTCACAGGGCGGATTGAAATTGCCATCCCTAAGGACTCCGTTTGGCAGAGCTTATTTAGGAGTAACTTATTTTAAGCTATTAATAAGCTATAAGCTCTGTTTGCTAATGTTTCAAAATAAGCTCGTAGCTTAAAATAAGAATTTTGGAAAGCGTTTTAAAATAAGTTAGGAGCTCCCTAACTATATTTCCATCTTTGTCCTTATTATTTTAAAGAAATGACATTTTTTATCCTTCCTAATTAATTTTTTTTTCTTTTCTCCTTTATTTGCAACTTTTATCACAATTATTATTATTATTATTATTATTATTATTATTATTATTAAGTTGGTTGGAGGTTTTGATCGACCAACGTGTGAAAATTATGCCCTGGATCCGTGTCCACAATGCATTATGGACACGAGTCCAAAACGACGTCGTTTTTATAGAAAATGCGTCATTCTAGTTTTAAAAAAAAATTGATTTTGTCTCGCCGTTAACGGCGTTATTCGTTTTTGCCATTATGAATGTACAGTTATGAGATTATGAATGTACAGTTATGGAATTATGAATGTACAGTTATGGAATTATGAATGTAAGTTATAAAATTATGAATATAGATCTCTGACATTATGAACTTACAAGATGAACATATAGTGATAAAATTATGAACATAGAGCTCTAAAATTGTGAACATAGAGCTTCGAAAATTATGAAGTTACAGTTATTGAATTATGAATGTACAGTTACGGAATTATGAATGTACAGTTACGGAAGTATGAATGTACAGTTATGAAAATATGAACATAGAGCTCTGACATTATGAACTTACAATTATGAACATATAGTAATAAAATTATGAACATATACTCCTATAACAAAGCGGTCTGAATTTTTTTTTTTTAAAAATAAAAATGGAAGATAACAGTGCCACTAACGACACTGTTACCCGTGTCCAGCATGCTGGACACGGGTCCATAGCATAACGATTGTAGTAATGTAGCTTAAGCTCCTTGGGTATCCCTTCCGGCTTTAATTTCCCTCCAATAGTCCAATATATATATACAAAATACAAAATTATAAGTTTGACTTCAGCTATTAGTGTTCGTAGTTTGAGTTGGTCAACTATAAGTTATCTATGTTAGTTTACCTCGAATGTGATTTGTTGGCAGCTAAGGTCATCCAAAAAAAAAAAAAAAAAAAAAAAAAAAAAAGATAAAATCTTGTGTAAGACCGTATGTGAAACGTGTCGGGTCAAAATCAAATGTAATATTGATCTGAGAAAATGTAATACCTACTTTTACATTTTTCTCATACAATGAGGGAATGAAAAAAAATTACATAAATCGTGTCAGGTTATACCTATATTATATATTTATATGTCATTAGTAGTTGTTGGAACCGTTGGTAGAAAACAAATAATAATCAAATAAAAAATTGACTATTATTTTCTGGAAAGAAGGGAAGAAAAATTTGAAGAAAATTGGCTAGTGTTTGGTGTTGGGTTTTTTGCAAGAGTCAAGTGTGCACTCTTTCCTTAAAACCTTATTTGCCACCTCCCGTAGATGCTAGGAGCGTTGTGGCCTAGGCTTCCCAGGATAAAACTTGCTATGATCCAATGTTTGAGCATTCAAACAAAGGATCCGGCGAGCAAGACAATGGCTATGAACAGAGTATAGCTAAAGAAAGAGTAGAAGCAGAGATTTTTGAAGCTGGAAAAGTATACTTTCGTGCTGTGTAAAGCTGTGTGTAAAACTCTACTGCCTCTACCCTCTCTTATATAGGGTTGAAGGAGCCAATAGCCTTTATTATGACAATTAAAAATGACATTAAAGCTGCCTTCCAATAGCTATAACAGCAGGCCACTACCTGGGAATTGAATTCAGAATTCAAAATTGGAATTAATAGACAATTAATTTCGTAACAGATGAATTCAATCCCCTCAACAGTCAGAGCTTTCGGGTTCCTGACCGTTAGCGTACAGGGTTCGGTCTCAACTTTCGACCTCATCCAGTTTCGGCCCTTGCACCTTTCGTGGACTCTGTTGCACGAGAGTTGTGCTCTCGGTGCACCACAACCTCTCGTGCTCTCTTAGCCCGAACCCCAACCCGAACCAAGTGGCTATACCAGTTGGAAAATGATACAAAAGTTTGGCATAACTTAGCCCGCAAGGCCCAGCCAATTTCCGGACGACATTCGTGCCCCCAGGTGCCAGCGCACACGAGCTCGGGCTTGAATCAAGCCTTTTTCAATCTCTGCTAGTTGGAATTTGATTTGCACCCCCTCCCCCCCGCCCCCACCCCGCGCGCGAGAGCCTCTATGCTATACAATTCTACAAGCTTCAAAAGAGCTCTTGTATATAAGGGGGGAAAATCTTCATTCCAAAGCAATGTGGGACAAAAGCTCACTTTTTCCCTTCATTTTCCAACTCAAATGGGTCTACTTTGAGAATCAATATCTCATTCACCCATTATCCGTTTTGAGCGTACAATATATCGGTCTCTTCGTCTCACTACGAAGAATCCGAATCCACTTTGACCCGACCCAAATCGGAAGTGGATCCTACTGATAATTGTACCACAAAATAGCCACTTAACATGCCATTTTATGCCCTTTTAAGCTATTTTTTCCAACAGTAGTTACCTTAAACTTCTTAGAAGAGTTTTAATCACGCAAAGACCAAGCTGTAATTCATCAAAATCAATGACAATTCATAAAGGGTTCTAGTCTCAATGTATTTTTTTTTTATTAACCTTTAAGTGAATAATATCTAATTATATATTTTATACCATGACCAATATATTTCAAGTAGTTACAATTTTATTTTATTTTTTGTATGTTTATCTTTCTGCACACAGATTTACTAATATTTTTCTTTTGAAAATAATAATATTATATAAATTTACTATTACTGCTGCGGAGATACGGGGTGGAGTTATATGTAAAAATATGTTTTTCATGCAACTATCAAACTTTACAGCTGTGGAGATACGATCAAGTTACACGAAAAAATATTAAGAGGAATAAATTTTGTATTATCCGTACAGGTGGACTGCTGGGGTTCAATAATATGAGGCCAGAGCCATGTATCACGTGGAACATCATTTTATGGCGCTATGGATCTGAACCTATTTTATTTAAAAAGACTTACTTTAAACCAGATGTTCATATTTATTTATGAGGTGTTGACTCAATAAAAATGATAGAAATTTAGTGAATTAAGGAAAGAAGGAAGTTTGGAACAAAATAAACTAAGTAGATAGAACAAATCAAAAAATAAATTAAAAAAACTAAGTAGATACAACCAAAAGGTTAAAATCCTCAACCTCCAACTTAATTAACAACACTAAGTTTGTCCACTTGGCTAAACCAACTCTTATATACTAAAAGACAGGAAACTACACTTATGCATGAGAAATGCGCGGGAAGCAAAGTAGTGGGAGAACACATGTGTGGCCGAGAATGAAGACTAGCTGATGTCGTACAATTGTTAAGCATTCAGAAGGTCTTCAACATTATAAAAGGTATCCTTTGATTCACTAATCTTTCCTGGTCCAGTGGCTTGATAGTATTAGCTCATGCCTAAAGACAAAGTTTTTTAAATGAAATATTTGGAAAACCAAACATCGTCTCGACATGCAAATCAAGTATTTCTTTGAAGGAATTTAACACACCAGTTAGCCTACATTGAAAAGTGACTTGAAGATATTTATATAGATAAATATCATGTTACTCAAAAAAAAAAAAAAAAAAAAAAAAGATAAGTATCATGTACTTATCACATTGACGGTTGTTCGATAATCTTTTGAGGTAGATAAGGAACCGTTTATATTCGAAGAGGATAATGAGGATAGCTAGCCTAAGACAAAAGTCCATTATTTCATTGTCATTGGAGCATTAAATTAGGACTAGACGATTTATAATCACATCAGACATGGTATTGTATTTGCGATGAAATTGGTAGCAACATCTAGTGCTCATCCTACAACGAAATATTGAAATAGTGCTTAACATATCCTCTGGTATCCTCGAGATACAAATATTTTAACTTTTATCTGAGAAACCAATATATGGTTATTGATGGGCTACTTGGATACTGACTATTTTGTTTGATCTCTATAATGTCAAGTTCCAAAATTGTTATGTACTGAATCACCCCCAATGTTCTAAATGAGAACAATAAAGGTTGTGTTTCACAAATGATAAATGAATATGTTTATGAATATTTGACAAAGTATATGTAGTGTCAAAATTCAACTCACATGAGCTTCAGAAGAGTTACAATATTATTATACAAAATATTACTATAATGACAATCTAGCAGATCTGTTCACAAAGTCCCTTGCTACACTTATTTTTGGAAATTAAAGATGTCTTTCTGTGTAGGGTTTGAAGATTTTTATCTTAGGGGGAGTGACATTTACATGAATCAATTAATTATGGAGATTGGGTCCTAAAGACCAACACTTGTACTCTTTTTCTTTGATTGCGTTTTGATGTTGTTTTCTTAATTAAAAGTTTTTAACAAGACAGCTAGTGCAACACATGAATGGATACATATCATGTATTCTTTTCATCAACTAGATTTTTCCCATTAGGTTTTTGTAATGAGATTTTTAATGAGACATAAGATTGATATAGCAATGTCCAAGAAAGAGTACGTGTTGTGAATAAATAATATATGTAGACATTACTTCTCCCACATATATAGACATTACTAAATGCATTATACTATGATATATAATACTATTATTCCAAATAATAGTATTATAGTTAAACTGAACCTTTATATTTGATGTATATATTAAAATAAAATATGATTAATAAAAGATTTAATGATTCTCTATCTAGTCTTCTCTTTATTTTACTTTATTCATATTACCTTCACGCGATAAATACATGATTTGTCAATTCATTATTCAGTTAGACATGACCACGGTTCCGGTTCCGGTTCCGTATTTGGTCGAACCGGCGGTTCCGGTTGGAACCGCCGGTTCTAACCGGTATTTTTTTTTTTTTTTTTTTTTTTTTTTGTAAATTGTAAGTTTTTAAGTATTGTTAGGCCTTGAGTTTGAGTTTTTTTTTTTTTTTTTTTTTTTTTAAAGATGACAGTTGTAACTTGTAAGTTTAAGTGGAATAAAATGTTTAACTTTGCTATGTTTTAATGCAAAGACCTTATGAGAATAGTGACTAGAGAGCATTGAAACTAATAAAGGCAATTCTTAGGCCATTAATGATTAGGATAACAAAGGAAACAAAAGACAATAAATTTTTCATTGTCATTTGTTTCCTTTATTTTTCTAAACATTAATAGATTAAAAATTACCTTTATCAGTTTCAATACTCTCTGGTCACTACTCCCATAAGGTCTTTATATTAATTTATTCATAGCAAAATTAAGTAATTTATTTCACTTAAACTAAAAAAAAATTTAATAATTTTAAAAATGCAAAATTTAATAATTTTGCATTTTTTTTTTATTTTTTCGGTTTGGAACCGGAACCGTCCGGTTCCGACAATATTATAGGAACCTTAACCGGAACCTTATAGGTTCCGGTTAAGAACCGGAACCGGAACCGTACGGACGGTTCCGGTTAGCACAGTGACGGTTCCGGTTTGAACCGGAACCGTGGTCACCCCTATATTCAGTTGCATTTTCTGAAGTAAATATTGGGGGATAAAATTGCCAGGGTGGATATTGAGCCAAAAATATAGGTACAAATTGGGGCCAATTGGTGCGGTGATAATAGGTCATTGTTGTCGTTGACATTTGACAAACACTGGTCGGCATGCAGCTCTAGAATCACTTAAAGGTACAATAATTGTGGATGAGTAGAAGAATAATCATACTCAGAAATGGGGGAAAAAATGATTATTTCAATTCTTCTTCTTCTTCTTCTTTTTTTTTTTTTTTTTTTTTTTTTTTTTTTTTTTTTTCCTTTTCCAAGCTTTCATTTTCAGTTTTTGTTTTAAAATTGAAGATACAGACAAGTAATTATATTCTCTATTTTTATTTATTTATTTTAATTTAAAAACAACTTTTCTCATTTAATAAACACACCTTCTTTTTTTTTTTTTTTTTTTTTTTTATATAAACACACCTTATTTGTTCATATCACACGCATATGTGGTTATGTTTTTGTTTTTGTGCTGTTGCATTCTACCTTATCTAGACCACCTTTTTTTTCTTTTACATAGCTAATAAATTCTCAAATATAATACTTTTAATCAGAATATAAAAGTATTACATATTTCTAAAAAATATTACCCTTTCTTATATAAGTAATAAATATTTTATTTTTAATTTTTTTTAAACAATACTTTATTCATAATTAGTATCACATTTTTAATATAAGTATTACATTTTCATTTGGATTCAATCCGTTTCACAGATAAGGATTCGTACTACAGGGTCACACAAGATTTTGTCTTATATTATTTTTGGCTCTATAGGTGCAGAATACATGTTAATTTTTACTCTACTCAAAAAAAAAAAAAAAAAGTTTTACTATATATAAACAATCAATGAGGTATGACGCATCTATGATCTATCCAAGATATTCTGGTTAACATCTTCTAAAAAAGTAATTTATAAAGTGATTTAACTCCAATTAGTATCTACCCACAATCTCCGACAGCATCATTAAAAACTGTTCCCAACCTATTATACGTTTATCCATAAGCATATTTGCCAACGTAACACCTCGTTTCTCCATCCAATCAAAGATTTAGACATATAATTTGATCGACTTTTCCTACACGGACTCCGAATTTCTATTCTCTCGGTTTTATTTCCTAACGGACAAGCAAATACAATATATCTTTATCATGTGATGAGTCATAAGATAAGTATCTACATCAAGAATTTGACTGTAAAAAATAAAATTGGGAGTCCATGTATATAGTATTTTTTTTATTTGATCAGCTTTGAAGGTGTGATATCCCTTCTGTTTACTATATTGAATGTTGTCTTAGAAGGTTAAGTCTAACATTCTACCATTATGTGACATTCATTAGCTGCTACGCAACTACGCAAGTATAAGGAAATAAAACTGCACATTTATCAGAGAAAATTACACTTTTGGTCCTATGACTATAGGGGAGGTGGTAATTTCAGTTCGTGACTTTTAAAACTAATAGATTTAGTCCTTTTAGTACGCTTTTTTTTACACATTAAGTCCTTTCGGCCAAATCACCGGTGGATTTTGGCGGGAAAAACACAATCCCTTAGTTTATTAAATATTTGGGGGGTAAAATGGTCATTTCAGATTCTTCTTTCTTCTTCCTTCTTCTTCCTTCTCCTTCGTTCTTCTTCTCCGATCTCCCGGCCGGCCCATCCTCCATAATCTCCGATCGCCGTTCTTCAACCCCTCATCTCCCACGACAACATGCTTTCTGGATAACCATAATCACCAGAGAAACAAGAACTCTGGTCGACACCGCCGCCAATGTGATCTTCAACCATCCCTGCATCTCTCCGGTCACCTTCTTCAACACCTGCGAGATAAATCTTCTTCAAATAAGTGAGCACTTATTCGTAAAAAAAATGATTTGCTGATATCTCCAGTTCTGAGAGTGCACTTCAGCCAGGCCTTTGCCATCTCTTAGAACATCAGATGATTGCCCCTGTAAAAAATACAGAAAAACCAAAGGTACAACTTTACTTTTATGCCAAGAATTTGGTCAAAATAAACTACATATGCTATACACACAACATAACTTCAAAAAGATTCTTTGGAACCTGAATCAAAAACTTTGAGTGGCCAAAGTGGGCATTCTGTGGGGCCATTGCCTGTGTATGGATAGGCTTTTGCAATCCATATGGAGGATCTACATCTTCATCCAAATTTCCCATAGGATGATACTGAAATTTGCGAGCAGAATTTTTCTTACCAACTTGATTAGACTTTTCCTTTCCAGTAGCAACAGCCCTTGAATCAGTTGGATCTAACATAACATTTTCCCTCAAACTTCCGGCAGAATTTTGGTGTGATGCATTGGACCGGTAGCTGTCATTTGAGTTCTCCTGTTTGTCACAGGTATCTATCTCATTACTTTTAGCTGTCGTTGAGGTTTCTGTCCCGGCTCCGTCGGCGGTGGATGATGTCGTTGAGGTTTCTGTATGTTCATCAAGAAGGAAGAAGAAGAACGAAGAAGTAGGAAGGAGAAGGGAGAAGAAAGTAGAATCTGAATTGACCATTTTACCCCCCAAATATTTAATAAATTAAGGGATTGTGTTTTTCCGGCCAAAATCCACCGGTGATTTGGCCGGAAGGACTTAATGTGTAAAAAAAAGCGTACAAAAAGGACTAAATTTGTTAGTTTTAAAAGTCACGAACTAAAATTACCACCTCCCCTGTAGTCATAGGACCAAAAGTGTAATTTTTCTCACATTTATCACTAGTTATTGCATTTACCATAGTGGTAATTAATAAACTCTTGATCATAAAGATTGGTATCAAAGCGGATCACAAATTTATCGAAACATGACATTGATTCTTACACACACACATATATATAAATAAAGTTACGCATTCACTAGCTTTTACCGGAGTTGTAACCAAAAAATGACCTTAACATACTAAAGGATTAAATCCCCATCCGTTAAATCATGAGATATGTATACTCATAACAAGGTAAAATTTTACATATGTTAGTGAAAAATAAAACTGTTAATTTAACTGTAGTGTCCCAAAGACACCCCTTTTGTTTCCTGTTTCTACAACAAGGTATCTAGCTAGCTTCCACTTATGCTTATTTGGTGGCCAGTCAATTAACTCGACCGACTCTCTCGTCTGTTGTGATTGCATTATATTGTGCTTGTAGTTGTCCATCAATTCTTATGGACCACTTTTTTTTTGAAAGTTCTTATGGACCACTTAATTTCCTTACATTTTTAAATGTTATATAATATCAAATCCCTAAAAAAAAAACAAAATATCTAGTATATGAGAAGTTTCACTCAAAACTTACTTCTAGCGATAAGGTGAGAATTCGATCCCTAGCTTCCACAAACATTATATTGGGGGTCTGGATTTGGGTTGGACTCCTTGTGCACAAAATTGTATGTACAATCTGATGTTGAATTTTGAAACTAGATTGACTCGATTTACGTCCTCATGAGCTTGGGGCAGGAAAGAGAAATAAGGAGTAGTTGGTTTTCTTAGGCTTCAGTGCTTTTGATTAGAACTAATATTCTTGGGGGAGTCGAACCATCAACATATCCCATTAAATTTTGGCCACACAGGAATGGAGTTAATTGCGTTCTCTAAAATAAAAAAATTTTGAATGTCAGTTTAATACTGTCAAAGTGATACGCCGCACACAGAATTCGTGGTTCGTGGGCACAGACAACGAGGAAGGAACCGTGACATTAGAAACGGTTCGTTCGGAAGAACCGACAAAATCATCAACAACGGTGAGGGAGGTAGGTAGGTAGCCATGAAAGAGATAAAATCCTAGACTAGTGATACCAGATTAGAACTAATATTCTTGTCGAGAAAGAATTTATAATTTGCTATTTGTCTTGTCTAACAAGCAAAAATTAACCTCGGTGGAAATGATAATTCATTCGGATCCACATGAAAGGCCAACTCCATTGCATTGCTACAATCCAAGTTGCATATATATTATATAGTGAGTAGATGCACTAATCTAAATTTAAGATCTTTGGATATGTTTAATGTCGTGTAGGGTTGTGTAACATTTTAGTATTACATTATTCATAAATGAGATTAAATACATCATCTCAGATGCTCAGTCAAATCGGGGTGTTGGGGAGCTTTGGAGTTACTGATTCAACCTTTTGAGAAGAATAAATGAGATTAAATATAATAATAATAATAATAATAATAATAATAAAGGATATAATTCCGCAATGGTTATCTATAAAACAAACAAGTCCAAATGAATATTGTAAATATAAACCTATATCTAAATAATCTAATCAGGAAATAATCCAGACGGACACGTAGCATTGAACGGAAACGGCGACGGTTATGCGCTGATCTCCGGTACGGTGCACCGCTTGTTTTCCCTTCTCACATGACCTCTGGCGTCATCATAATCCTCAGTGTTCTATACATTAAATTAATATCATTTTTTTAATATTTTTTATTTTTTTTACTAAAAGGAAGAAAATAAAAAACACAGATTTTACCAATTTTAGTGTTCAATGTATCATGTCTGGGCTGTGTAGTTCAATCAATCGATCTCTTTTGTCTCTGGCTCTCCTGCCCACTGCTTTATCCTGTCTGCTGCAATGGAAGCCTGCAATTTACAGATTAACTTAATTTAATTGCAATTAAGCTGAGATATTATTAAATATATTATTATTGTATTATCTTAAAAAAGTTACACTCTTTAAATATTAAGAAATTGTACTCTTTGTCATTTAATTTTTCACATTTAATCTATCAGTTGTTTGCAAAGTGATTTCTTTCGTTTTTGAATTAATTAAGGTTTGGTTAAAATGTCACACTCTAGATAATTGAGGGACAAAATATTCACTTTGCATATAATTGGTAGGAAAAAAATGTGTGAGACCATCTCACTAATCTTTATTTGTGAGACAGGTCAAGTCGGATTATGAATGTAATATTTATACTAAAAATATAATTTCTGTATAATTTAGAGATAAAAAGTGTCATTTATCCTATAGTATTTGATTTTTCAAAAACAAATGAAAATACCTCTTTATTCCAGTTGGTTTTGTAGACTATCCAGAAGAGGACTAATGTTTGTACCACAGTTCCCCCCAGCATTCCATACCATATGCCCTGTTCACATCACCAAATACAAAAACAAAATAGGATTTTTATTGATATATATTATTAGTCAACTTTAGTACGATGTTGTAAATTAAAACATTGTAATTATTGTCGAAGTGGATATATATATATACTTACTTCAAGACCCATGTTGAGAGCATAGCCCAATATTAAACCTGCCGGAATTCCAAACAAATAATAGCATGCAATATTGACGTAGGCAACTAAAGCTTGCCATCCTCCTCCAATGGCGACCCCTATACACAGACAATATAATGAGATTGAAATGGCAAAAATCTGAGGCGGCCGTTAAAAATGGTTGTGGTGTTATTGAATTGGTTACCGGAGAGAGTGGGCTGGATGTTGCTAACGACGATGCAGGTGGCGAGCAACGGCGTTAGCTTGTAGACGAGAGCCTTGACGACCTCATCGTCGGCGAACAGCACCGGGTACTGCCGCCGGAAGATTAACAGGACGGCGGAGATGAGGACGCCGAGCAAGAACGACGACATTACAACCACCACCACTGAGAATTTCGCCGTTCTTGGATGGCCTGCGCCTAGCTCGTTCGACACTCTAACACTGCAATTCAACGTAAGTTGTCACGTTTATATATTTGACTAGATCATTGAATAAATATTGCCTTGTGATCTTAATCGATAAAGGACCATAAGGAGGTAAATCAACTAGGTTGTCTATAAAATATAGCTTATGGGCTCAAACCAATGAGGCCAATAGACCGCTCACGTTAGGAGTTGAACTTGTAACATTGTGATTATCAAGTGAACAATAATCTGACCAACTTGACTGAATCACTTTGATTTATGAAAAAAACTCGCTATTGAAATAGCGGGCAAATTAAAGAAATATAAAGAGGTAAATTAGCTTAGGCGACTTATAACTAACTGATTTAAATTAAAAAGTCAATTAGACTCTAATTGTTCGACCCATTTGGCTAAAGTTACCCCTATATGCCTATGACTAAATTATGTTAAATTGATGGAAGTGGTGATTTTGGAGGACGAACTAACCTTATCGCTGCATTCAATCCAATGGCTACCATGACTGCCCAACCAAGTATATTTGTGCTGCATATACATTTATGTCAACAGTTTAACTTAGACAAAAAGATAGAGTAAAAGAAAAAGAAGACTAAAAAATATCCAATAATAAAAAATATTATTTAAACTTTCAAATCTTACTCACAACTTTAATTTACTCTTAAAATTTTGATATAAACATTAAAAAAAAAAACACCTAATAATTAAAACTCTTATTTATATAGTGTCATCGTAATCAGTGATTCATTTCTCTAGGTGATAAAAGGACAAATAGGGCAATAATGACAGTCAAATGAAATGTTGATTAGCCAAGTCATCATACTTTTACATGCATTATCGAATTCCTATCCTAATCAATTACCAAAAAAAAAAAAAAAAAAAAAAAAAAAAAAAGAATAGTGCAATAACGACAATCAAAGCAAACGTGTTATTGTCATAGTCAATAAAACAAAACAATGGCAGTATTCATTAACAAAAATTTCAGGCAATCTTTTGCTGGCATGCACTATAATCTACATACGCCACCTACAAACCCTACCAATCACAAACGTTATCGTATAAATTAATAAATATTTTGATATAATACTCGTTAATTAAATCAAATATATTATATAAAGATGAAATCATATATTAAAATTAATTAATCGCACTATGTTATATAGTCATTGTACGTACCAAATGGACAAGGCATCCACCGCAACCTCAGCATTCTTTAGATAGCCAGCAAAGAGGACTAATGCCATAAAATACCACGTCTCTAAGCTGCCAAAAAAAAAATATTCAATTTACAAATACTTAAAATGAAGAAAAAAGATTGAATCTATTGTTTTATATGCACAGACACACAGTGATTAGTTACCGATATATGAACTCAGATTTTTGTTTCTTTATCGACATTCTGTGGACTAACATCATACAACATGTGATGTTCGGTCACGCAGTGCGTCAAATGATTGAAAAATGTTTTCTGTTGGTATAAAAAAAAATGTGACAATGAATTTTAAATAACTTGGTACAATGTTGTATTATATATATAATTATATAATAGATATTATAGTATCAGATAAATAGGCATAAAGACAATTCAGTTAAGTTGGTCCAACTGTTAAGTGGTAACTATAAATTTATAAATTCTTGACTAGAACAACTTAATGATCAGATTGTAGAGTATATAATCATTAATGTGCAATTTAACTATGAGCTTGAACTTTTAGTTGAGATGGAGCACATACTTCAATTGGTATTAGAGTCAGACCAAAGGTTAAAGTTTAAGTTAAAGCTGGAAAATGACTGACCAGAGCATCACTGCAGAGGCAAGTGACAATCTGACAAAACCCCAAAGGTTCTGAAAGGCTTTGGGAGAGAAGCCGGACCAGGCGCGGCCGCAGGCGCCGCTGAAAATGTAAATGAGCTGAGCCACCACGATGAACCACCAGGAGAAGTTGAGCACGGCGGCGGCGGCGGGGAGGCCCCAGCGGAGGCGGAGCATGAAGAGCCAGCTGAGGAGCGCGTGCATCGCGATGGCCGCCCCGGAAACCCACGCCATCACCATCATCTTGCTCTGCGCCTGCAGGAATTTGGCGATGGGGAAATTCATGGCGTACGCGTACAGCTGCGGGATCATGTACAGCGCCATCCTCCCCGCCGCCGCCGATATCTCCTCCGTCTGCCCTATCAGCCGCAGAAACGGCGCCGCCAGCACGTACAGCGCCGTCAGGATCACGGCGGTGGCGTTCAGAATCACCCACGACCGCTGCATGTATACTCCTAGCATGTCGATTTGCCCCGCCCCAAACGCCTGCCCGCATAGCGTCTCTAACGCACTCCCCATTCCCAACTGTTCAACATTAATTGGAATCATTAATATTCACAAATTTTCAATTTTTCTTTTGGGTGACCAGAAAAACTCGCAATCAATCTAGACTGTTTATAGCTAATCAGACTCAAATTGACTAGAGAATGTGTTCAAGTAAACTCTGCAATAAATCAGTCTAAATTGTTCATAGCTGATTGGCTTAAATTATTCGGCAAATATTAGGTTATAGTTCAAGTTCAAGGACAACAAATTTTTGATAATTATTAATTTGTAGTCATTATATTATATTATCAATCCCGAAAATTTCATTGCATAGAAAGAAAAGGTTTTGGTTTGGGTACCATGACGCCGAATGAGAAGCCGGCGATGACAGAGTTCTCGACGGTGACGGCGGCGAGGTCGATGGTGGTGAGATGGCCGGCGAAGGTCTGGGTGATGGCGCCTAGGGAGTACTGGCAAAGAGAAGTGAAGACGGCGGGGCCGGCGAGGTACCAGAGCTTTCTCGATTCCACCCTGAACTCCCGGAAGAAATCGCGGACTCCGGTGATCGGAGCGATGTCATCGGGGTCGGGGACGAACGAGGACCGGAAAGAGGCGAGGGACGGCCGGAGAAGAAACTCGTCGTCGGCGAGACCGACCACGTGGTCGTCTCCGCCGTCTCTTCCCCTGGGGGAAAGCAAAGGCTGCTTTGTGTTATCATCAGCCATGGAAAGCTAATTTCTCGGATTTCGATTTTTAATGTTTGTGTAATGGATGATACATTGCCAGCTTATATTTATACAATTATTGAATGCATACATTAATTTATATAATATTTATAAACGTCAATATAATACTTATTCCTAAATAAGAACAATATATTCTAGAAGGAAATGATACTCATATAGTGACTTTTCAAATTTCTAGAGGTGAGTACAATTGTATTTTGTACAAATAACACTTACTTTTTAGGCGTAAAATTGAAAAGTTAATAACATTTGTTACGTTGTATTAAAAATCGTGCAAAAAGTAAATGACACAATCAATTAGAGTCGGAAGGTTTTCATTAATTTACCGGTATTGATAGTTTAATTGATCACAATAATGAAGTTTGAGAAAAATGACTAGGAATCGAGTCTCACTAGCAAGTCTTGTTTTAATGTTCAGTTAAGTTACTATGATTTATATCTCTAAATGCTCTGTTGTGTCGAGGCATGACTTATATTGATTAGAACAATGATATGTATTGATTTGTTAAAAAGTAAAACAATTAATCGGTGTTGTATTGAACAACTCGGAGACAGGCTCCGTCTAGCTAGTTTTGACCAATTATCACATATCAACTTTGCTTTCGCTACTATTAGTTAATGGACATTTAATATAGGGGAATGATTTAATTGATTCTAGCTCATTTTTAAATTAATTATAATATTTAAATGCATTTTTTAAATTAAAATCTTTAAAATTGAAAAAAAAAAAAAAAAAAAAAACAACAACAACAACAAAAACAACAAAAATTCAAAAGATACACACATATAATATAATATAATATTATATTATTGTTTGCAATTTTCATGTTCCGAAACCATCTCAAAGTGATCAAAAATCTAATTTTTCTAAATAGTAATGGATGAATATTAATTAATTTTAAAACGATTTTGCTGATAGTCAATATTTCTGACCAACCCATCAATATTGTTATGTTGGTGAAAACACTAATCTTGGTTGACGTAATCAACTAGTTGGTATGAGTGGCTGTGCACTCTCATCTTAATTTTAAGAAAGGTCGGGAGTATTATTATTGAGGTAATTGACCAAGTAACCTTCCCCTTATTATTATTATTATTATTATTATTATTATTATTATTATTATAGTATACAATACATTGCATGTATATGTAACGAAGAAGGTTGTGTTATGATTTGGCAAAATGGACACTTTAACTGCTTCCTTTTCCCCCCTTTTTTTGGGTGATCTTTGTTCATACTCTACTGCTTTATGTTGATTGCACTTTTATTTCTTTCCCTTTTCCGGTTCTTTCCCCTAACTTTTAGTTCTGATCGAGATTAATGATTATAAACTATAAATCAATAAATCAAGAATAAGTGGAGCATTAGGCCAGGGCATCGTCAGTAGTAGGGATTTCGGTGTGGGTTTGAGAAGTTTTTGTAAGTGTGATTAGAAAAGAGAAAATGGTAGAAAAGTGAAAAAAATAAAACAAATGCTGATTTTAAAAGATAAATAAATAAATAAAATAAAGACTGTCATTAGCGCCGCCCGTTACGTTGGGCGCCATTTGTGGCCTTCACGCGTCTTTTCTTGGAAATTATTAAAATAGGTGAGTCTCACTTTTTCTGTAAAATCTCTACATTTGCAGTACCAACTCTAACATTCTCTCTCCTCATTATTATCCTTCCATATTGGCAATTTTCTCTTAAAATATGTACATAGTTCCTTTATTGGGGATGCCCTTATTGTATCAGAATTGAATGTGATTAGAAAAACAAACAAACAAGTAATGGTCCTTATGGAGATAAGACTTCTATTTATAAACTGTTGTTATATATAGATTTTGGATCCGGTGCACACCCCCTTGGCAGATGAGCTCGTGAGCACCTTTTCTGACCCTTAATTAGTTTAGATGAATGGTCCAGATGATTTGGGTTTTTTTGCCATGTGTATAAGCTTTGTGAGGACATTAGGGTTTGTTTTGTAATTTCGCAATGGCTTTTATTATAGCATGTATTTAATTTCGCCTGGGAATCTGCGTGAGTATTTCAACCCTTCGTCTTCTGTGTCTGTCTCTTCCAGCCATAGTCCAACTCCCGCTCCATCACTTTTCGACCTCCATCACTTTCTCCCTCTCCAATTTTCGACCTCCATCACTTTCCCAAATTCTTCCGATTTCCTCTCGTTCTCATCGCCTCATCCCGTCTCTCTGTCTCTCGGAACAACCAATCTCTGAAGCTGTTTCCTCGATCGGATTCTCCATAGCTTGGTCTTCCATCCGATGGCCAAAGTGTCGGAAGAGGGAGGCTACCGGTGGTGTTCAAGGTATTCCTAAGTCTTTTTTTTATTCGCATTTTTGTTTCAATCATTTTGTTCGAAGATTAGTTCGACGGTGGTCGGTGGCAACTAGGGTTTTCGCATCTCGACGAGGCGGGCGAGGTTTTTGGTTGGAGACATTTTTTAAAAAAAATTGTAAACAGAGTGTTGGTTTGGTAGTGGGGAGAGGGTGTGTGTTTGTTCTGGTACCATCTGATTATGAGAGCATTGTGTTTTTATGTAATGAATTAGATCAACTCTTTTTCCTCTCTGTATTTTTCAATTTAGAGTCTAAAGAGTTGTTTGCTACTGCATTTGAATGATAATTATAATGCAGGTTGCAGAGAGATGCAATCCCTCTGTTTAATAAGTTGAGGTTGGTCTACAAGCTCAGTATAGAAAGAGAACCAACATTTTATGAGGTCCTACTTGAAATACTTTTCCATCTGTTAGATATTTTGGGTAAAACATGCTTTGGGTCAGATCAAGCTTGCAGTTATTTGCCTCATTTATCTTGATGGCTGTGTAGTTGTTAGATGAAATAGCTGAGAAGTTTTATGGATTACGACGCCAGAGTCCACTGCAGGGGATGTTTGGAGATATCTTTAAGGTAACATTCCTGTTGAGATGCTTTTATTCTCATTCCCGGGCTCTAAACCCGCGAAACAAACACTATCTTAATGCTGATGAAAATCTCCTTCAAATCCTAATTCATCACACGGTTTTTGTATTGTGTCCCCATTCCCAGATGATGGGAGGTGAATAGGCGATATGAGTTGCTGCTTTTGCTAATGAGCTACAACAACAGTTGAAGTGCCCCAAGCCGATCGGCCGGCGCCCGATGTGGGTGGGTCAATGCGTATCTCTGCCTCAGAGTGTGCTTGGTTTTGTAATGTAATGCTTGGTTTTGTAATGTAGTGCAATGTGTTATTTAAACATTCAATATTGTACAAATTGCATATTTAAGTATGCTATGTGCGTAGGGGTTAGGCAGTGAATGCAGTACAGTGTAAACATGGTGTAGCTTTAATCAGTATGGGTTTGTGCGTAATGGGTTCGATTTGTGTTTGTTTCGTAATGGGGTTTTTTTTTTTTCAATGAGGTTGGATTATTGCTGGTAATGTAGCTTGCTGTTTTTTTTATTATTTTTTATTTTTATTTTTTTTTAAAGTATGCTATGTGCGTATGGGGTAGGAGGTTAATGCATTATAGTATTTGTAATGTACTGGAAATATTGTTTGGGTATTTGTTGGTATTACTGTGTATATCTTTTTTTTTTCCCAATTTCGCTATGTGCGTAGGGGGTTAGAGGTGAATGCAGTATAGTATACCCTTGTTGTAGCTTTATTTACTATGGGTTTGTGCGTACATAGTCTGTGATTAGTGTATTTTTTTTGTGGGGGGTAGGGGTTGGTGCTCATGCTAATGGTGTTGTAACTAGTCTGTGTGTGTTTTGTTTCGTATTGGGATTTTTTTTATTATGCTGAGGTTAGATTTTTGCCGGTAAAATAGTTCAAGTTGTTTTTTCAAGTATGCATTGTAATATGAACACAATTTTTTAATGTTGCAGACTGTGGCTACGATATATGCTGAGAAGTCCGATGCGTTAGCTGGAGCTTTGGAGGACATGACCCACTTTATGGAGCTCCATGATGACCTCCTGGGCCTGACTTTGGAGTCCGATGCGTTAGTTGGGGTTTCTGACTTTGGTTCCCCTTTCCAAGTAGTTGGTGTTAGTTTTTGAATTTCGACCATAACATTTTCGTAATAAAGATGTGTCCTCCAGTTCCACTTAATATTATCATGTGTTTGAAAATCCCAGCACCTACGCACATGCGTACGCTACTATCATGCACACGCCTTTTTTTTTTGCACATGCCTATTTCTTCATATGCACAGGCCTATTTCTTCATATGCTTTTGTTTTTTGTACAGGCGATATGCACAGACCTATTTCTTCATATGCTTTTGTTTTTTATATTTGGTGTGTGCATTGGAGTGTTATGATGTGTACAATAGACCACATGGTGCAAAGTTCCATTGCCAAAAATTTGCACACGCCGTACCATAAAAATGCACACACCAGTGTAAATAACAAAACTAAAAAAACGACACGGACCACATGATGCAAAGTTCCATTGCCAAAAATGCACAAAGTTCCAAAGCAAATGTCTGTATCTAGAACTAAATTAATTTACACACGGATCCAATTCTCAATCAATTTTTAGGTCATCTAATTTTAATTAAACCTTCTTGCTCAAGAATCGCTTGGTTCACGCACCAACCAAACAACACACACGCATCAACCTAACAACAGAAACACAAATAAACTAAATGAGAAAGATAGGAAAATATAAATAATATTGCCAATTAGCAACTAAACCACACCCTATCCTGCACACGGTAAGACACTGCTATGCACAAACAACAACACCAAACAAGGCAACCCCCAAAAAACGCATCAACACGAAAACAGTGGTGCACCCGCCTAAAAAAAGAAGAAAAAAAAATAGTTTGTTCACCAACTGAACACGCACACGCTACGCACATAACAGATATTCTAGTTCGTCCACCAACCCCCACCCCCTTCCCACCATCCTAGCGGAAAAAACCCCAATATTCAGCGTATGCACAGACGATGGCACGTAAATGCACTTACCCGTTCGTTTTCTCCTCAAGCCTTGTTCACGCCAAGTTCACCTCATCAGCCTTTGTAGTAATTCAAAGTATTAATTTCCATCCACAAACTCTCTAATTTAATGCTACAGATTCCAATAATATTATGTCCATAAATAAATTAGAATTACAATTACTAATATATCATTTACATTGGAAAATGTCCTTAATTACTACCATAATCTCTTATAATCTCAACCATTGATGGAAATTGAATCAATGGATATTAGGAGGCCTCATGGTCTCATCTATTAGAGGGGGTGCACCGGATTCGAAGCCGTTATATATATATATATATATATATATATATATATATATATATATAATCCTAATTTAATTATAACAAACTACCTAAAATGTTCTGAAGTTAGATTACAAGCCATTGGGCTAGGCCGCCGGCCCACTCCAACCATGTCACTACACCTTCTTAATCCATCATCCATGGCCTTGGCACGGTCCTAGACCCAGTGGAGTAACAGATAATTAATTTTGTTTTTTTTTTATTCACCATCGGGTTCAATCATGTGACCACTCATTTAAATATTAACAGATCACAATATCACACTACATAATAGTTAGCAACGGAGAATTAATTTAGGTGAAAATATATCTCACTTTTAATTTGCATAGACCATAGTTTCCCCATTAGACCATTTATAACTATATGACTCGTCCTAACTCTACTTCAACATTGGGAGCCTAACTCTAGTAATATTTGAAGTGAGGGGTCTTATCGTTTCTACTTGGGAAAATTTTTGCGTTTGAATCTCTGTTCTCTATTATGTTGTTCTTACTCGGATTGTATGGTCAACTTATTCAATGATGTGTACAGGTGCATGCCGTGTTTCTCGGCAAATGTTAGGAAGCTGCAGCCATGCATGCATGCTGGCTTGCCCGTGAATCGCATTGCTATATTGTATGGTCATTGGTCATTTCACTGTTGCATTCGACAGCTAGGAGACAAAAGAAAAAACAAAAATAATGTCCGCACAGACTTAGCCCATAAGTAGTATTTGGGAAAAGAGACCAAGATTTGAAACTCAACATTATTTTATCCGGAGTGTGGGAGACCCTAACTTGGAGTTGGGGATTCAACATTTTGGAGGAAAAAAAAAACAAAAAAAAATGGCTTCAATTCTACTCATTTTAAACAAGAGTAAGTTTTCAAAAAAAAAAAAAAAAAAAAAAAAAAAAACAAGAGTAAATACCAATTTTGGTTCCACAACATAATATTAGAGTACTATAGACAAATTATACGGAGTAATATTTAACAACAAAATTTTTAATTGAAGTCCTAAAACTCTAGATTTTTTTAGACTCAACTGGACTTGACAAAATCCTCCTGTCAGAAAGCCCAAACCATCCCTGTACTATTCAGCCCATTAGACTAACAGCATTCCTAGCCGGCAAATTATGGTGTGGAACCTTGTCCACTTTACAAGAGGACACGGTTCTAAAACTATTCATAATTATGAATATATAGTTTAAAAATTATGAATATATATATATATATATATATATATATATATATATATAATTATGAATATATAGTTGTGAACATATAATTATGTACTTATGAATGTACAGATTTAATAATTGTGAATATGAAGTTAAAAAATTATGAATATATAGCTTTATAATTATGAACATATAGTTCAGTAATTATAAACATAGGATTCTGTAACTATAAACATGGAGTTATGTAATTGTGAATATAGAGTTCAATAATTATGAATATAAAGTTCAAAAATTATGAATATATAACTTTATAATTATAAACATATATTCAGTAATTATGAACATAGAACTGTGTCCACCTTCTAAGGTGGACACGGTTTCACAGCATAAGGATTGTTCATAGCCATGGTTTTGGATATGCATTCCACAATAAAAATGCAATTAACAGATCCACATTGAGATTATATTTCAACATGTGCATAATCTTGCAAGATTAGACGTTAAATAATCTTTAAATTTTAAATATTAACCTAATTACCTAAAGATTAAAGAACATCTATAAATCCTATCATTGATTAATTGTAAATTGTATACAAATAACAATGTTGGATTGGATGACGAGTGGAATTAGTTTGGTGGAGGAAAAACAATTTAGGAATTAAATAACTAGTAAGATGATTTTCTTAGGGTGGCTCAAAACAACGTCGTTTTGAGCAAATAATACATAAAAAATGTCGCACAGTGTATATTCGGTCGACTAAGGCCCCCGACCGCATAAAGGCTGGTTTCGGCACTGTTCGAGGCGGCCAGTTGCTGCCTAACGCCGATTAGGCTCGATTTTTGCAACATTGTTTTTACTACAATTGAAAACTTAACTGTAGGAGAAGTTAACATCGGCATCGAAAGTTTGGTGGATGGTTTTTTATTATACTTTTTTTTTTGAATATTTTATAATTAGCAGAAATTTTTAATAAATCTTATATTTTTTATTTTTATTTACAATTATATTTTTAAAGGTATACCATGCATTATATAACATATGACTCAAATTAAATTATTGCATAAAATCCCTACTTCTTTGGATGGGCCAATGTATAGATTATGGAGAGACCGTTTGTCCATTGAAAAATCCAAAAATTATAACAATTTTTTTAATGTAATATATGTGTACGAAATTTTATAGAATGTACTTAAGAATTAATTAAATGAAATTACATTGTGTTATTTAGTACTAAAATGTAATATAAATAGTGTTACCCCTATCCAATATGGATGGACGGTTTGTCTTGTTCGTGAACCAACTCAACTGCACGCTTCATGTTTGACCCATACATGCTTTTAAAGTTAATAATCACAAGCCCACCTTAATTTTAAATGCAAATTATAATGTCAATTTTGGTCCCAAAAATGTTATTTTGTTTAAATTGGTGCAATTTTTTTCTCTTTTGGTTTGATCAAAATTCATCTTTACAATATAATTTGTTAATTATATACACATAAATTTATATTTGTAAATACATAATTTGTTAACTATAAATATAATGTATCATGTCAAATAATTATAATAATGTTCTAAGTCCGTAATATATTAATTGTAGGTAAATAAACCTAAAATTAAATGTTCATAAATTGAGTGTTTGACATGTAATTATGATTAGTATATAATTTTAAGAGATAT